ATGTCTCTCTTATTAAATTGGAACTTTGATGAAAGCTATGCCTTGGACTCTGATTTAATTCTGGATGATATTTGGAACGCTGATAACTGTCTTCTAGTACTGTCACAGAAAAGAAAAAGATTGACCTATTCTCCAAGCATCAGAAGGCAGGGTGAGAAGTAACGGGTGGAAGATGATCAAAGGGAGATCCAACGTCAAATTAAGGAGAAATTTTCTGACGAGGGAGAACAATGAACGAGTGGGAAAGTTTGCCTCCTGGAGTGGTGGGTGCTTCATTGCTGGACAACCATTTGTCCAGGGCGGAATGATGACATCTGTCCTGGGCAGAGGGTTGGAATAGAAGACTTCCAAGGTCCCTTCCAGCCCTGTGACTCTATGAGAGAAGTTTGCATGGCTGCCTGCTGTTACTGATCTCTCAATGCACACAAGCAGCTGCTGCACTATGATCAGTGAGCCGGATTCAGCCAATCCACTTTTTCCAATACATCAGATCTACTTGATCTGTTCCTAAGTCTTCAGCAGCAAAGGGTCCTTTCGTCAATTGATTCTATAGCCGAAGATGTCAGGATATGAACCTGAATTCAAAAGAAAAACTCTCATCTAGAAATACAGGATCCTACCTGATACCTATTTACCTGCTTAGTTCGCCACTTAGCCTAGTATTCTTTTCTATATTTAAATATTTCCCAACATATCTAAAATCTGAGGCACACCTCTTCATTTAAAAGCTATTAGTGCTTACTTTGCTACTCTCCCCAGACAGCTTCTGGCCTCTCTCCTCTTTACTGGCTATGCATAAATGCCTTTAAATAGTAACCGGGGGAAGCACAAATGTTTTAGACTGGAAATGCTTTTTTAAAAAAGATGTGCCATCGTTGCAAGTGGTCACCAGGACTTCCATCAAGAAACAGCATCTGATTCTCTCCAGGGCAATTAAAGCTTTTTAGAAAATATTAGATTTGATCTCTGGCTAGCCAACTGGCCAAATATTTACCACGTAGGGAAGGGACTGGAGCTGGCTCTTGCTGGTGGCGTCAGAAGCTTCCCACACATCTATTTGACTGGGGAGAGGACTTTGATCTCCAGCTTTATTCCCACTTGACACACCTTTCATTATTGCAGTTTGTGCTACCCGAGGGGCTCGGGGCGGGGGGGGGGGGGAGCAATGAGTCTTCCCGAAACCCAGCCGCAGATGGCTGGATGGTTTGGTTCAGTTCCCTTTGCTCCAGGCCAGGCAAGGGAGAGTCATGGTCTGAAAAAAAAATGTATGGGGGGGGGGAGGAGGAGAGAAAAGGAGGGAGGAGCAGGATGGGAAAAAAAGGAAGAGGAGGAGGAGGGGAAGGAGAGAAAAAGAGAGGGAAGAGGGAGAGAAAAGGAAGAAGAGGAGAAGGAGGATAGGAAAAGGAGGGGAAGGGAGGAGAGGAGGAAGGAAAAGGAGGAGGGAAGGAAGAAGAGGAGGAGATGGGGAGGAGGAAGAAGAAAAAAGGAGGGTAGGAGGAGGGAGAAAAGGAGGGGGAGTGGAGGAGGAGGAAAGGAAAAGGAGGAGGAGCCCTCTGTCTTTAGCAATTGGAAACTTCCAGGAAGCAGCTTGCCAATCCAGGCATGCACAATGTTAAAGATCCCCTAGGAAAAATAAGTGAAGGCTTCCCTTTCTGTGGGTCACCTCCTCCTCATCCCTTTGGAAGAAAACAAAGAATTAATCTGCCACTAGGAAAAAAGAAAGCTTTCTGCCCAGCCCCTTCCTCTCACTGGCAACTCAGCTTCTTAGCTGGGACCACAGCTGAGGGCCAGAAGGCCTGTCCCTCAAGAGGCCCCGGGTCGCTTGCTCTTAGGGCTTGTTCATAGGCCACCTTCCAGTAGGCAGGTCACAACAAGCACCTGGAGGAAGATTCATCGCTGGCTGGGGACTTCCGGGAGTTGAAGTCCACCCATCTTAAAGTTCACAAGGTTGAGAAATGCTATGGCAGCTGGATGATGGATCTCAGTGGCAAGAAGGAAGTGGACCCTGCCAGGTCATCCTACCCAAGACCCTGAACCCCAACGTGGACTCAACTTTGCCTAAAAGAGAGCGAAACCTCTTCAAAAAACAAACAAACAAGAAAATCCAGTTGCCTCATGGAAAAAATACCTTTGGGGCAGCCAAGAAATGAATATACAAGTAGTCCTCAACTTACAACAGATC